GTACTGTAGGATGGCAAGGATCGAGGGTAGCTCGGATCAGGAAGTGCGCGAAGGTAGACCAGTTTAGTGAATGTCATCTGTACTTTCTCAAGCTTTAATACTAGCTTTTTTACTTGTGGGCTCCACACCTGAGAACAGTATTCTAAAATCGGGAGCACGTATGCCTTATACAGTCTAATGAGGATGGTTACATCTGACGTTTTAACCGTCCTAAATAGGCTGAAAAGACAACGAAAGGCACGTGTTGTAATATCGTCAATATGGCGATCCCATGTCATTTGGAACATGTGTCTGACATTTTTCTCTTTGTTATATAATTGCCACTGCTTTTCAGGAAAATCGTGGTGCACCAGCGAAAAAACCTCAGCCGGACTATTTTCTGTGACAATTTTCCCAGAACTTTATATGGGTGTATTCTCGACAGCCGCTCAAGCGTTTTATCACGTCGTTTCCTCCCTACGTCGTATTGGTCGATATACTCGTTGCTTTGAACAAAACTGGTTATATTGCTGAGTATTGTATGTTAACGAGCTCTCCCAGAAGAATTATTACAGGGAGAAGTTTTATGTGCCTTGAGATACCATACATGTATTGCTTTTCGACCAAGTGGGAATCACCCAGCTTGTGTCTAGAGCCGAGAGCTCCTTGATTATCATGTAAATGGTTCACGAAGACATGGGAGAGAATTAGTTGTAATCCTTATTTGGTGAATTAACTTCGCATATGAAATGTGTGCTGGTCGTGTTGGTTTTAACGCATTCATAGTTTGGTGCTCCCTCATCGTCTGACGAAAATGTGCAATTGGTGCAAGAGATTCTCTCATTGTAAAGACTATTATCGCTGTAAGGAACCATCACTTCCTTTCAGTAAGTGGAATTCCCAATTGCAAAACCTTTCACCTTTTGTATACTTCTCGAATAAAATGTTCTCCATGCCATGTGCTCAAGATGTCTATGGCTACTGTCCGGTGATCATTTTGCTCATCTTTTATGAAGTAGTTTTTATTAGACGCAGATATGCTCGCTGCATTACGGGATTACTTTTTGTCACTTTGCGAATTACTAGGGACCAGAAGTAATGTTGCGAGTCCTTCAACGATCACTTCTTGGCACAAGAAATTTGTGCGCAGCAGCCACTCCAACCCTCTCAGATGACCTTAGGAATAAGATCGACAATATGGTCAAGGTATGTCTGGGTTTTCAGATTGCTCTTTGTTATTTTGCCCTTATTCTACGTTCTTCTTCCTTCATCGATTATAGGATTAGAGCCCCACATGAGTGCCCCATTCCTTCTGCTTGTTTCTCAGCTTGAGGCACGCCCCAGTTTATTTGATGTCCAGAAGCCTTCTTTGGACATAGTAGTCCTGCCTACAAGTGTGGAGGATGTACTGCTTTTGCAGCTCGAAAATTCGCGAGGAAAGCGCCGCACGCTCGCGACGGAACTAGGGCCCTGCCCACTGACCACGACTATACCCAACTTTCATTTTAACTACTGCCTGACGGTGCGGTTGTTTCAGTACCAACACTTTCCCTTTTGAATGGTGAGAGCGAGGGAGGTGATACGGAGGAAGGGCTGGCACCCGCTGGTGAGAACTCGTATGACCATTCCCTTTCTTCGCCGCCTTATGCACAGCGCGGCTCGGCGTGACGTTTTATAGGGCATTGTGCAGGTTTTCAGTATTTGGCCTTCTTTCTTGTGTTGTTCACCATCTTTTCATTGATATTGGACAAATCACCATTTTTGTAGGCGGGGCGTGCTTTATATATGAGAGACATTCCCTTGCACGAGGTGGCTCGGTCCCCACTCCCGCCTCAGTAGTCAGTCGGGCCTTCGTAGTTTTCATTTCGGTTAATCGCTGAGGCGGTAACGTCTCGCTCGTCAGTGTACTTCCACGATTTCGCCATCTGTTTTCCTTCTGCGCGTTCATGTTATTCCGCCGTATGCACATTCAACGCTAGGAATCAACAACGGCCGTATTTATTCGACCTTTTGGCTTCGCTTTTCAGTGGCAACACATTCCACAATCTTTGTAGTTTCTGGCCCCCTTACGACGATCACGGACAGTTTTCAAGAGTCCGCGGTGTCACATTATGGGAACCACTTGGTAACTCGTGTAGCCCAATAAGACTGTAAAAGGATGAGGGACTTCAAGCATCATTCGCGCTTACACTTTAGCTCGGATTGGTGGAGTGGGCGTTCCTGACTGCTGCATCGTATCTTCAAAATCCGTCAGAACGCATGTTTGGAACCCCTGAATGATTGACCATCAGCCTGTGTTGTAGGGCCGAGTGATGAAAATCAAATGACTCTCAGGAATGTGCACGCAGCTGGCTCAACCCTGGAAGCTACTTACCAGGAATGGTCAACAGGTCAGCCTGGCCATTTCCAATGAGCTGCACACCGTTGTACGCGTCTTGGGACGGTGAACTCAAATCTACCTTCAGAATTTGCGACGATTCTCTG